TACTTTCCTTTACTCCCGTTGCCTCTTTACTACTCCATGTTACTTTTTTACTTCCGATTGCTCTGGTTCCTCCAGCTGATCCACTGCAGAGTGTGACAGATGTGGGCAGCTCCCCAACAGCTTCAGCTGTAAAAACAGCCACAAAGAAATCACTGAGCTCCTCTGCTACATCTTCATCATGCCTGTCTGTCCCTTTTATACCCTTGTCATCAGCATTCCCACCGATTTCCTAGCTGCCTTTGTGGCTTTGATATATTTAAAGAGCCTTTTATCAGCAGATAGAGCGTCCTTTGCAAGGCAATTTATCTGTTCTTATTTTTAGCCCTATTTATTTCCTGTTTAATTGTGACCTGACATGTTTTATGGACCTCCCTGTTCTTAGGCCATTTTGGGCTTTTAGGGTTGGGTTTGGGGATTTATTTTTATCAGTTGCGGCAAAAATCAGTGTCTTCAGCTCATACCCAAAAAACCTTTGAGAAGTCAATCTAATCCTCCTGGGAACCCTTAATAAGCAAAACTGCTTCATCTGCAAACACCAGCCACAAGGCTTTGAAACGGGGAGCATTATCAGGCTAAAAATAAGGGGGAGGGTGGGAAATGGGGAAAAAATAGCAATTGATGACTTGGCAGCTGCTGCACTTGACAAATGGCAGTCCTCCTCTCACAGGAGTGGCAAATGAGTTGGGCACTGCTCAGCCTGCCTCGCTTGCCTTTCTGTAGTTTGTGGCCCTGGGCTAATGAACCCCAAATTTCAGGCAGGATCCTCTGTCTCTGCATTGTGCTGGGGTTCAGTCACCCTCCTGAGCCTGAAATGAAGCCAAGGTGGTCTCCCCAAAACAAGCCAGGGACAATGATGTTCACTGGGGTGTCTGCCCGAATCCCTTAGCCCTCACCTGGATTTCCCTAAAAGCGCTCCGTACTGGGGGTTTCTGTTGGGGAAGTGGTTCCCAGTGAGGAGGGGCTCACTGCAGGAGAGGCTCTTTTTACCTTAGCCCTGTTCCTCCTGCTGGAAGGAATGCAATCGTTCACCTTGAAAACAACAAGCCATCAAAGTCAAAGGAAGGGACACAAGACACAAGAAGGGAAAAGTCAAGCCCTTGGGTCTGCAGTGCTGTCTTACCTTCATTGCTTGCTCTCACTTGGTACTGATGACCAGCTTGGCACATCACTTGCAGGATCTATGTAAAAACCAGACTACTAAAGGAAACAAGGGGTGGTTTTCACCAGTGGGTAACCAGAAAAATGCAAAATGCTTCCTGCTTTGAGACCTTTCACGTGCAAGTTTGGATGCTGGGCTTTGCTGGGGACTGTGTGGATGTAGGGTTTTCATTTTCGAGGCTGGTTTCAGGCATAAGCTGTGCAAACAGCACAAGATCTGCCAGGTCTGATTAAGCCCATTCTTATCCCACTGTCCCATGACATTAATATGGGACGGCTCCTCTAAAGCAGCTGCCCAGATTCAGGCTCTTACCCCACAGCCATACACACCACCATACTGCTCCCCTAACGCCCTGTATTGCTTCAATATACCCAGGTGTATCAAAGCACATTAAGAATGTCACGTGACTTAAGCAATCCAAATACTTCCATACAGGTATGTATTATAATAATGCAAACTTCTGTCCCAACTCCTTTAGCGCTGTTTAATACACCCTGTGTAGATGTGACAAGCAGTTATGCTCTCCAGTGTAATTTTTTGTCTAGGATACAAGCAGGTGACAGACTTGAGTGGCACCTTCTCGGCTGGTCGCGTACCAGCAGGACACCCTGTATCTCAGGGGAGAAGATGGATGGGAGATCCCAGGATGTGAAAAGAGTTGTGGCAGTTCCCTGAAGCCTCTCACCCTGCCTGCAGGCATGTCCTCTCTCACACTGACAGGGGAGGGTCACGCTCAGCCCTGTTTCCCATGCCCCGTTGGATTTTAAAGGATGGGCAGCTGAAACAAAGTATGAACCGAGTAGCAGCAGTCATAAAACACCACAAAGAGCTATTTTCTATCATCACATTTCCCAATGGAATCACACATTGTTAACAGCCAAACAGAAGTGAAATATCTGAGAGTTTGCCCTTTCGGGACATAATTCCAGCCCAAACAAAATCACTGTAGCAGCCTTTGAAATGCTAAAGAGCAATATGCTTACAGTACTACCTGACAGCCCCTCCCCAGCACAGCCTAAATGAGAACTCGCTGCACTTGCAGAAATTAGCTTTGAACTAGAGCAATGAAAATTCCTCCGCAGTTAAATGACACAAACACCTGACTATTTTTGCTGCTTTTATTATCAATGACAGCAAAAGTCTAGATATCACACCCTCAATAAAGTTTTACTGCATTAAAGTTTCGTTTATCATTGACCTTTCAGAGCCATTTCCAACCCTATTGCTTTGAGAGAGGATAAGAGATAACACTTAAAAACCTTCTCATGTGCCTCCGTAGCAGGCTCCTGTTACATGTATTTTAAGGATCCTCTGCACTAAGCTGATGGAACCAGGCAATTTACCTCGATGAAAGACCATGATGCATGGGCTGTTACTCCTGATATAGAGAAATCTTTTTATAAAACTCCACATAACCCCAAGTTTCAGTCTGCCATATAAAGAAGAGAAGGAGGGGTATCCAAACAAAAGCAGACAACTAAATGAAGCAGAAGTCTACACTGAGCTTCAAGGGGTTTTTGTCATTTGTTCTATCTGTTTCCCATCTGTTTTTCAGCGCCTCACCCCATGTAAACTCCCTGGAGTGATCTGCTGGCAGCAGAACCTTCTCCTGCTGCTGAAAAATCAGGAAAAAGGGGAAAAAGAAAGGGCTCAGCAGAGGGATTAGAAGCAGGGAGGATCTCCTCCACCCAGCGAATGGTGAGGAGACACAGGGCTCAAAGAACATGAAGGAGGCAGCAGTCATGGGGGCCAATATTAATGAAACTATTGGGGAAGGGAGCTAGTCCCTCTTGCAGGGCTTTCCGAGCTGGAGGAAGGACAGGACCTCTCTGCCTCTTGTGCTAAAGGTAGTCACCATGCCTTGCTTCCCTCCTCATGAGTGAGTACTCTCAGAGGAAAAATCAAGAAAATAAGACCAAATCTCTACCACCCTTTGAATCATGAACAGCTAACTCCAGCTAGCCCTGTTCACACAGAGTAAAGGTCACCCTCTGCATGTTGAGACACACACAGCCAGTGGAGGGTGGCTAAGGCCACCAGAACCTGGTCTCCGACAGACACCTGCCAATGGCAGGCACTGTGCAGCCAGGTGATAGCAGCAAAGGTGACAGAAGTCAACTGGAAGAAAGAAATTCTGCCAGTTAACAGCGAAAATCCGGGAAAACAACAGAGAGAAACTGGCACCTTTTCTCACCAGGTTACCTCTCTGAACTGCTCATTGCAGGTGGTTCAGAGAAAGCAGAGTCTATCTTCTTTGGCTAGAGAAGCCACATGAGAAAGATCAGGACTGTTTAGTTCTCAGTTTTCAGCTGCATAACTGGTGAGTGGGAGCTGGTTTTGATCACCGAGAGCACTGGAACAACCGGTCTGCATACACATCCTGGTAACCTCTACAGCCACACGCAGTGTTCTCTACCACTGGCCCCCACACTTGTCATTTAAGTTGGAAAACACTTCTTTTTTTAGCTGGTTGATATTAACAGACTGATACGCACAAAGCTGACATCGCAGAGAGAAGCTTGTCTGGCATTTTCAAAGCAGACTCAGCTGCACTAACTATGCAATTCCCATCGAAAGTGATTATGTTGGTGCCAGCCCTATAACAATAAACATTTTAGCTTCATTAAGACTGAATAATATTTCTCATTGGAACCTCCGAGTGAAAGCTGGGTGCTGATGCAACCAGTCTGTGCACACTTGCATCTAAAGTCTGGACAAGTTTCAACATAAAATAGTCTCTGCAGTTGCAAAAAAACCGCTTACACCACTGAGCAGCAACGTAAGAAAGCCTTGGTACTGAGAAACAGTAACGTTTAATAGGAAAAGTTAATCTGCATATATAAAAACCAAAACACAAAATATAACATGGAATTAAATGATACTTTAAATGAACTTAATCTATAAATATATATATACATATTTGTGCATACATATATATTTAATATATATAAGTAACAACCAACAGATAATGCACACAGTAAAATATGCTAAAATGTGGATTCTTTTACAGACAGAAATATTGAGTGTATGTAAGAAATGAAAACCAAAAATACTTAAGATGATTCAATCAAAATGTAAAGAATGCAAGAGAAAAAAAAATGCTAACACTCTCCACAGGAGCTGAGAATGTAAAATCAACATAGTTGTGCAAGATGGAGAACAATAGTGTTTGTTTGAAGATATTGTTTCTTACTGTATTGGGAAGGAAGGCTGCATAAAAGGTCAGACAAGTACCATTGTCTCACACAACCCATGTCAGCAGAGATCTGAACTGAGTGCTTTAAGATCGGAAATACTGGGGTGTTGAGGAGGGAAAAAAGACTGTATCTGACATAATAAAGAGAAATGGATTAGGTTGTCATGAAGAACAGTTTTGATCTCACTTGGATCTGCCCAAAGCCATGCAGGCTGCAGCTGAAATGGAGTGAGCAAAAATACAGGCAATGCTCTGGGTGCTGACATTTTTCAGCATCACACATATTGCCTGGACCATCTTCCAGAAGAACTGAAAAACAGCAGAGTTAAAATGCTGGTATCTTGTCTACACTCACTCTCTTGCCAGCGTACTGGCCTCCTGAAAGAATTCTAATGTTTATTGGAGCCCATTAGTTCTTTTAAAAGTCCTCTCCTCCCTGCCCTCTGTTTCATTTTTTCCCTTATTTCAGAGTTGTCTGTAATCTCCTTCAAGCAGGCATTTTCCTTTAGAAAATCTTCAGAGGATCTGGGATTATGGACTTGGTTATCTCTTCTGCTGAAATAACTGCATTGGTGAGAGGCTGCAAAACCCTTTGGTCTGACCCATTGTCGCGGTGGTCGTCCATCCTTCTACTGCTCTGGTCGCTTAGTATCTGCGCTGCATCCTAAAGCCCTCAGGCTCCCGGGATATTTCATACTACAGAGAATTTGGACAAGAAAAGAAAAGAAATGAAGAGTAGCTCTGGGTCAGAAAGCTCCTTTCTCAGAATAGTTCAGCATGTAGCACACTGCACGATAGCCCTCTGTCTGTGGCACACCAGCCCTCAAGGAAAATCAAACAGGCAGATTTTTATCAGTGAAAATTTGACATCTTTGGAAAGTTAGAAATGTCAAAATCCATGTTAATCTGATCAAGCACCTAACTAAATAGATGTTTTTCTTATCTTAATTGTCAGGTTTTTAAAAGCAGGGTTTTTTTTCTTTTTTAAATATCAGATTTCTCTGTTGCTCCTGTCACGGTTTAGGCTTCAATTCCACAAAACACATAAGTGTATTACAATTAAACAGATGTGCTTTGCTAAACAGGGGTAGTTTCTTGCACCGCAGACGTGGAGCTAAAATGTAATTTAAACAAATTTGGAATGGACAATATGCTTCTCATTTACTCAATGGATGCAGAACCCAGCAAATAATCATAGCACAGTGCAGCACTTCCCAAGCCCCTGCTCCCTCCACAGTTCCCTTGCAGGGTTCAAGGACAAAACAGGCAGTTTTTTCAGAGCACACCTTCCAGGTATTGACACACCTCTGCTGAACAGGCTCCTTTGGGCTATATCAATGCAAAAGCTGTGCTAGCTTTTCCATGGCACTTCACCCTTTACCCCTTTGCAATGCTGCAGCAAGTGCAGAGGCTCTTGCTGTGAACTAGGTGGTGGCAGAGCGGGTGGGAGGACACCCTGGATCCTCTGGGCAGTTGTGCCAGTTTAACCTGACCCGGAATCTTGCATGAGGCTGCAACTGGGAAGTGCTCCTGCAGCACCTATTGACACTACAGCTGGCTTAAAAGAAGCCCAGGTTGTAACAGCCTGTGATGTTTGCATGTGTGCCTGTGCTGAAGGATCTGTTTGGTCAATGCAGACAGATGTCCAGACCACTGGGCAGCCAAAGTGTCGCTATGACCCTTGCTTGTCACATATGCCTCCTGTGACACATGCCTACTGGGGCTGTGGAAGTTCTTTGTAAGATAAGTGCTGATCTCTGTGTTAAGGGAGATGTTTTTTAGCTGCAGTTAACTGTTGTTATTGCCTTTATACCACTTTGGCCTTCTAGATCAAGAGTGGATAGACAGAGTGGAGGTTATGTTCCAACAATGTCTGTAGCCCACAATGTAGCCCACAATGTTACAATTCAGGAATGCAGTTCCTGTTGGCCTGTGTGAAACACTTACCAAATCATCATAATCCCTCTCTGGAAAATGACTTCTGTTTGCAGAAGGCACTTCATATGGGTTGTTTGGCTGATACCCTGGGTTCGCATGGCCAGAAGTGGTCTGGACTCTGGGGAACATCGTGGTCTGTCTATCATCATCAGCATTTGGATTGGAATATCCTGACTTTATCAGGCTCTTCTTCTCTGGATCTTGTTTGTGTTTGGCTCTTCAGAGGAAATGAAAGAAAAAAGGAGGTTTTAAAAGACCCTTTAGTGTGCCTTACTTATTGAGTAAGTCCAATTTACTGAGTTGTCCACTCCTACCTTATTTTCAATGCTCAGTCCTGTTCTGAAACAAGCAACAGATTTTTCTGGCATACCTATTGCAAAACCCTTGTTATCAATGACAGAGTACAAAGTTTGGCATCTCTTATCACAGATGGGGCTAAGCTGCTAGGAGGGACAGAGGAGACTTCGGCCTCTTTCAACTAGTTCCTAGAGTAAAAGGAGTTTCCTTCACCACCACTGGCTCTAACTGACTATTCAGAAGAAGAAATGAGGCATTCATTCAGCCCAGTTAAGAAAGGTTGCCCTTGTGCTTGCAGCCAAAGCTGGCCACTCAAATGATGCATTTGAATTGTCTGTGATCACAAGTCCATGCATGGCACACACACTCAGCACCAGCTTGTGCACCTGCTGGCAAGCTATGACCGCTCTGGGAAGTCTTGTAGGCATCTTCACCTGGGAAGTGCTAAAAGTAGGGGCAGAGGAACTGCTTGAGTGTTTCTGTATTTATTGCGTGGAGAGAAGTGAGGAGGTGCAACTGCAATTGGGGATTTGCCAGGACACCAGGAACAGCAGGCTTTATAGAGAAGTTTGGCTGGAAATGCCACTCGTATTAAGCTGAAAGGGAAATGCAAGCCCTTGAGCTGAAGTGCTAGCGGGGAAAGCTGCAGAGAGTCTGAATCTGAGCCACAAAGCCTTCTGATATCAGCATCCTTCTTCAGTCTTATGCAGATGCCATATGATTACTGGCTAGGGCAGGATTAGGATTAATGGGTCAGGTGTGTATTTGGAAGACTAGCCTAAAGCTTTCATAGTTGAATGCACAGCAAGAGAATAAACACTTCTGGGCCTAGCACACAGGCAAAACCAAATTCTAATGACTACATGACTTAAATGAACTTGTCTGCCCAGCTAGGCATGCAACCACATTTGCAGCCCTGCCCCTCTCTAAATTTCTACTTCTTTCTCTACAAACATACAGCAATGCAGCTTCTATTCAATTGTAAGAAATACTCTTACCTTACTGAAACAACAGAGACTGCTATCACTAAAATCAGGATAATGGCTCCAAGCACTGTACCCACTATTATAAGGATGAGTTCACTATCTGGGAAAAAAGAAAACAAAAACAAACAAACAAAAAAGAAATATCAGTTGAATACTCATGGTAAATATTGAAAACCAAGTCCTATCCTTGTCCTCTTACTATGAAAGAAAGAAAGAAAGATAGATAGATATGAAAGATAAGGAAGAAGATATTATTCATTCCCAAGCTCCTGGTGCTGTCTCAGTACAACTCTCTGTGGACACAGAGACATAAATTAAGGAACTGATCTGCATTAAAGACCATCTCTTCTGGATGGTTATTTTAATCCCTGCTCAGGTTCCTAATCCCATGCACTGAATGGCTTCAGACACAGTTATAGCTGAGGGACGAGAACAACTGGGAGGGTGTAGTGGTGACTTAAGCTAGTATTGCTGCTAAAATATGTAGTTAGGTGTCAAATAGGCTCTTCCCATGCCCTAAGCACATAAGGTTTGATGTGTCTATTATATGGCACTATGAACACTGCATAAATATCCCATATCTGAATAAAAGTTTAGCAAGGAGAATTCATTTTTACTGATCTTGCTGCAGAACCAGCATGACTAAGGGAGGAAGACATGGATTCTGTGTCTCTTCCTTCAACTGTGAATGGAATTGCTACTAAAACTAGTCTTAGCTCTGCATAACCATGGTACAAAAAAAATTTTAAAAATTAAAAATAAGATTATTGTGTCCTGCAGGGTATAATTTCAAGATAAGACTGTGAAGGGTAAGACAGTCTCTTGAGCTATCCAGCCTTACTGGTGGTACCTACTTGAAGATCCCAATCTGGATTTATGAGTTTGCCATTTAATACACAGAATGCCTGTATTGGAGATATACAACATGAAACCACCAGCTGTGCCATTACCAGCAGAACAAACCCACACATCTAATCATAGGAGCATACACGGAGACAACAGGGAGTATGATTCCTCAAGAGAACATTGTGCCAAACACATATGGAAAGTATCCTTGGTTATTGCTCAGCAAACTTTTTATGTTAGTACCTACTAAGTGCCATATGGAGAAGATAAGGCTATTAATGGAGTTTATTGCTAGCAGGCTCCAAATTCACATTTAAATTCACAACGTGTTGATTTTGTGCTGATTTAGCATTTTCATTTGCTTTATGAAAAAGGCCTTAAAATTCCCAAAACTTTCTCTAGAAAAATATGTTCCATGTGATGAAAAATATCCTTCCTGCCAAACATTTACACCTGGCAAAGTTCACTTTTCTGCACTACAACTGCTGTTAGCAAATCTCCAAAACTTTTAGGTAAAACCAGATGAAAACCCTTGAAGATCTCATAGCTTATACATGTTAAATATGTATAAGTTTAAGAATGCAGCAGTGTGAGACTCCAAGGGGCCATATGAGGATACGCCTTTTCCTGAAATAAAGCCAAAAGGGTTGTGAGAAGTGAAGAAACATAACTAGTTTGTTTTTCAACCTGCCTTTGACCATGTTAGATGTTCTGAATTTAGGCACGTATAAACACTAGAAGGCATGAAGAATGGCCTCTCCTAACCTATACAATGGTGGAAATTGGAGAAGGTGCATCAAACAGCTGCAAAACTGACTCAGAAAAGGGGAAAAGCTTTGGAAGGCCTCTCTGGTTACCTTGTGCAGATTATTACAGTTCTGGGATAACACAGTCAGGGCCATTGGTACTTCACCGATACAGAGTACTATATACTGTGCAGTGTGTGCGAGGTAAAGGAAAAACAAGAAACAGTGGTTGGATATTAAAGCAGAAACCTTTCCAATTAGAGTAATCCACTGATATTTTGATAGAGGGAGTGATTAATTACAGGAGAAACCAATCCATTAGTGGTGCTGAGTTCAGCATTGCATGTCTTTAGATGAGGACTAAATGCTTTTCTGTCAAGTAATCTGTTTTACTAAAAACTATTGGTATTATTGTAGAGATCATTAGAGGAAATGCTACTGTCTGTCTGAATATGAGTTTCAAGAAGATTCTTTCCTTCCAGGTAGCAGCAGAATTTCATTCATTTTTTCCTAACATTTTCCTGCTAGCAATACAGGATGGTGTCACCCCTAAAGGCTACTACTGTATTTTTGTTATGTCAGGCAGATTAAACATTACCAGGTATTTTTCCATTGTATAATAAAAAATCAGAAATTCTTGTACTTACTGTTGCTGCACTTCTCCCCAGAGTAGCCCACTGGACAACTACATGAGAGAAAAAATAAAAAAGGAGAAAGAAAGAAAGAATGAACAGAAAGATAATGTCATTAAGCACATGATCACAAAACAATAATATATTTCCACCTTTTATCAGCAATTTCTCTGCCAAATGTGTTCATTACAGGTTTCCTCTTTAATGTTATCTTAATATTGAGTTCTTTAGTTTCATTGTTAGTGTAAAACAATCTGAGATTTTCAGAATGACTGCTGAGCTGGGCACTCAAAGTTTCAGGTTCTTAGCCTGAAAAATGTTAAAAGGGCCTAATTTCTCCAAGGAACTAAGCCCTACACCTCTGAGCCGCTTGGAATTGCTACACACTGCCTTTATCAAAAGCCTCAATATAAGGTCTATAAGGACTGGCAGCTCTTTATCTTCCTCCCATACTAATTTATTATATTTAAAATATATCAACTTTGTGGTAAGAATTGTTCAGTGTGTGGCAGTAATAACTACAAAAAGAGTTGAATTAATAGATATAGGGAGCAAGGTCCCTCTGCTTATCCACAGGAGCAGAGCACAACAACTTACTCAGCTTCACCAGCAAACAACATTGCTCTGTTCTGATTCTGAGCTGACAGAAATACCCACAGAGAAAACCACGATGAAATAATGTAGGTCTGAAAGTTACCAGGAAACAGAGTCCCCACTGATATCAGTGGAAACTTTCCAGGGATTTGAGGCAAGTCTTGCTCTAATGCCTGTTGCTTACAAAATGCTTCAGCATACCAGTTCCTGTGGCTCAATTACTCTGAAGGAATAGTTTATGTTTATGTGGGCAACCCACAAAAGAAGCGTGAAGTAATTTGTCCTCTTCACTGACTCACAGATGACCTTGGACATCCTTGACTTTCCTCTGAGGCATTACGAGTGCATACCAATGGCTAATGCCAAGCAGTTAAAATGACATAACTTGAGACACCATGGAAATTTGTCCACCTGCTAGCCACCTTAGGCAAGTCTTTGATTCACACAGCTGCAACCTGTTCTTCTAGATTGAGGGTAACCCCATGTTAGATCTTCTTCTCCCCTATCTTTTCCTAGAACACAGGAACACAAGGAAAAGCTGAGTACTCACGATACACATTTTTCCTCCTTCTCTTCAAAGTTAGGCAAGCATTTGCATGTTGGAATCCCTTTTTCTTTTGCACAGTACTTGTTTTCTTCTGCAGAACAATTTTCACTGCAATCTGTATTTTCAGAGGGAAAAAATACAGAGTGAATTGAAGGCAGACCCAAAAAAATCAACACCGGAGAAAATTGTCCCAGTCATTTTTTTATTATTATTTTTATTTATTGCACTGAAAACACACACAACTTTGTTGTGCTTCAGAGCACCAAAATTGTTTTTTTAGGGCTATACCTATGTAGAATAGAGACTGAAATACAAAACCATGAAATTAGAAGTAAACAGTCTTTGTTTAAAACTGTCCAGCTTCATCAGAATGGAAATCTGGCTAGGCTGTATCTTACAGAGGCAAGCAATGACCTGCGGTTTGATCTCACAGCAGATGATTTGTATTGCAGCTGATCTAAAACTGGACCAGATTTAGACAGGTTAGGGGCCACAAAGGCCTACACTAGATCACATCTCACTGGCCTTTATTATAGGCAGCTTTCATTATTTTATCACGAGTGTTTGCAATATTTCCTGTCGGGTCAGCATGTTTGCGGAGCATCCTTTTCAAAAAGGGACTGAGACAGTGGATAACCACGTGAGCCTTTCAGGGATAGATGAAGTAGCAAGGTTCTTACCTGAACAGGAACGATCATCCCATTCTGTCTTTGAGAAATTACTTTTGCATATGCAATTTGGAAACATACTTTCTTCGCAGTATGTGGTTTGAGCATCACAATTAAAAGCATCACAATAGGTTGCAGCTTTAAAAGAGAAACAGTCAGGAAGCAAACCTGAGTACTAATAATATCACTTCAGAGAAAGCAGTGGACTTGCTCAGTAAATAATAAACCAATTATTTAGTAATTCTGAAAAAACCCTTGTAAGTTCTTTTTTTGGGACAACAATACTGCAGGTATTTGGACCAGCTCTTTCTTTTCACTTGGTCTTTACCAGTTAAGTTCCTGTTTCCATCACATCTTCTGACCTGTTTCTCAGCCTCCTACAACTGCCTCCAAACCTTCCTGCCCCTCAGTCTACAAAGAGGGAAATTCTATCCTTAAGTTCCTATTCTGAACACTGACTTTTTGACTCACCTTAAAAAAACAATAGACAAACCCTAGAACTATTCCCTTAGTTTCTTCTACAACTGAACTGTGAGGCCCAGATCCCATACAGTTCTACAGAGACAAGAATTTTATGGGCATGCAGCTCATTTCATGACCAATATTATGCTGTTTGCCCAGTATGTTGCTCTTTAGATCCATGTCCCAGTAGTGGAAATGGTTTAAAAACCTCAGTGGGTGGCATGCAGTGAAGGGATAGGATTGCACTGGTGCTTTGTGAGCTCTCAAGTATTTTCTATTTCACATTCAGTACCAGCACACAAGAAATGTCATGGTTGAGGTGGATACAGTCACCTTCAGAGACCAAACTCAGGCTACAAGCCGTGAAATGGACTCCTTTAATTATTAGCTATGGATTTTGTGAAAGTTGATTTCAAAATAGGAGCATATTTTAAAAAAGAAAAAACGAGTAAAAAACCCCGTATTTTATTTAGAAAATCATTCTCCAAGTATTATACTTTAAGTAACATAAGACTTCACTGGTTTAGACCAATGAATCACTTAGCTCAGCAGCTAATCAGTGAGGCCTCATTTCAATTACTATGGTTAATTATGGAAGAAGTCTAAAGAGAGTTTCATCTTATTTTGCCAGTAAAATACTGGCTTATTCTCATAAGTACAATATATATCTGTATATATTTTGTTCTGATTTTTCCAGCCACTTAACACTCCATAGATTAAAATCAACATGCCATTGCTTACTTGGGAATAAGTATTTTCCTTCTTTTCTTTACAGAGGAAGTAGAAAGCCTCAGTAAGACAAAAATGCCCAGCACTGAATATTTGAGTCTTCAGAATTACCAAAGATTGAACATTCAGCTCCTTAAAATCAACAAGGCTTCTGCTCTGATGGGCTTTGCTACACACAGAAATGTCCTAACCAGCTTTGAAGGTAGGAACCTGTGTTTCTGCTAATTATTTACTTCCACAGTAAGGAATTACATACCTCTGTACTCAGAGACAAAGGATGAATTTTCTGCTGCATTACGTATTGCATCAATAACTGTCTCATTGTCGACAGGTGGGTTCTCTACAAACAGGTTTGTCACTGTTACACTTGTTAGAAGAGAATCTTTGCCTTCTAGAAGAGAAGCTCTGCCTTCTTTTTGAGGTCTGAAAAGTACAGATAGCATCATTTAAAAGCCTCATATAATCCATATGGATAGCAAACTAGATACAAAGACAAGATAAGATTTCTGCCAAACCTCCCTCTCTCCCCTAGCTTCTTGCACCCCACAATGTAGGTAGTTGCTAAGACACCTGAAAATTATTTCAAGCCTTATTTAGGAATCTTTTAATGGCCATAATTCCAGTAGAGCCAGATGTAAATAGGTATCTGGTAAGCAAAGGCTGTTGGATTTAATGCTAACAACATTACTGCTTTGTGTACTGTTGGCACAGAACTGATTTTTTTTACTGGACTAATCTCAAGCTGGCTGCAGTGTGGAGGACCTCATCTGTTAGACTCTAACCTTTACATGCTCACATCAGCCTGTGGTGTCATCCAGGCATGACGTGGAGAACCCAGGCTGAAGCATGCTGAAGATAATTCAGGGTATGACTGCAATGCATTCAGAAGGGTCTGTTTGCAATGTACAGGTATCTATGTTAACAGCATGCTGGCTGGGTTGGGTTCAGCTGGACAGCAATCTCCCTGGGGTGAGGTGGAGAACAGCAGTGACTACCTTGTTCTTCAGCTGAACTTTGTGCTGCTGGGATATGCACACAAATACCTTTAAGTGGTAGATAGCTACAGTGCCTTAAGATGTTACTGTGCCCCATGTGTTTGTCAGAACCACTCTGCTGGAAGTTACAGCCCTCACAATTCTGCTAAACAGTCTGTTTAACTGCTTAATCCATGGTGTTCACTGAAAGGGTTTACACTGCTGTGTGTGCTAGTATGCTGGATTTTGCTTGATGTGGGTTAGGGAGCACTCACAGAGAAGCTGACAGAGCTAGATCAGCAAAGGACCTATGCCCATAGCTACAGTCACCACAGCCCATTCAATAGCATCTTTGCTCAGCCTGCCATCAGGAGAGACCAGCAAATGCACAATGAGATGCAGTGAGCTTCTGCAATTAGAGTGTTTCTTAAATTAAACTGGAACTCCAGTTGGACCTGCACATGGGAACCTCAAAGTCAACTGTTACAATTTCAGAGCCATGTCAGATATCACAGGGGCTACTAGTTATAGGACAAAGCCATATCCTACATGGTGCTAAAAGTAGGAGATCCACTGTGGAGCTATCTCAGCCAACCCACTTCACAGATATATTGGAAATCCATGGGGTAAAAATGGGCCCAGCATCCCAGGATCTTTAAAAATACAAAAAGAATGGCCTCATTTAGCAGGAAGCATAATGAACTGAACTCATCCCATATAGTATCTTGAACTGAATACTCCCAGGGGAAACAGATTAAAACGGGGTGCGTGCAAAGCACACACTGTGCAAAAAACAAACTGGCAAACTTACTGAATTTTCACAATGACAGTCTGTTGAAAGCCCATATCGATGAAGACTTTCTTAAACTGTAACAGATAAATTAATTGGAGTTAAAGGCAAGCAGAAACAGAGCAAAATCACAGGCAGCACTGAGGTTTCAGCTATAAAGTTCTAATTCAGAACATGCCACTATAGGCACAAATAAAGCAAACTGATCAGTCACATCCACCATGCAAGGTATTGCAGAAGAGTGGTGGTGGTGCTGTAAACCAGGGAATACAGGAGAGCAGTGGAGGGATGGAAAGACACAAGTTGAATGAATGTCAGGCAGTGTGTTAGGGCTGACTGGCTGGACAGCTACAGATCCCCCCATTGCGGACTCATCGCTTAGAAGGGCATCTCCACAGTACCAACCTACATACAAGTAGAGGGATGAGGGAGAAGTAGGCAACCTTACATATGGCATGTGTCCCTAAGGTGCAGTGAAGTAGGATCATCAGGGGTTGATCTTATGGGGAGAAGCACAGCACTTCAATGGGGAGAAGCACAGCAATGAGTAAGACATTGGGGTTGGATGCTGCCAGTAGAAAAGTCACTGCTCTCCCTCACCCCATGTAAAGTAGGAAACAACTAGTAGAGGTTGCTGTCTCCAACTGCCACACAAGCAGGAGGCATCATGAGGAAAGGATGTCTAAGTCAACTGAAATGAAAGATAAACTATCCTTCTTTGTAATAAAATAATAATTCTTTTCTATACTATTTTCACTTTTCATACTATTACATATCTATTCTAGTGCTGCATATCATGAAGTTCTGTAATCATGTCATGAAAAAATGTAGGACAAAAAAATTGAGGAAAATATTTTTTAACATTCTAGAGGGATAATTTTTAGCTACTTTCTGATAAAATATTAATAGGAAGCAATATAATAATGTGAATAATTTGATACCCAATTTTGATGAATTCTGATTAGTATTTGGTGAATATTTTTTTATCAGCTGTCTAGTAGAGTTGCATATCTCTTCTTCCTTACTTCCAGAAAGCAACATAATCAAATCCCCTTGTTTTAACATGGTAGTATAAACTAATCAGTTCATCTTACTTCTCCAGGAAATCCATTACCAGATTTAATCTAAAATCAGAGTTTGCTGAAAATAATTAATATCCATTTCACTAATAGCATTAAAATACTAATACTGGTATGCTCATGGAAGAGGCTTATTATTTAGGTATTTATACACAGCTGGACAACCATTCTGAAAAGTTTGTGCTGTGTGGAAATAATAGCTTTCTTTAAAAAAAACCCAAATTGTTCATTTTTACTCTATCACTGAGTATTACTGAGCCCTCAGCAAAGAGCAGAGATCAGAAACTAAATGGGTTGGAAAACTTCTCTCAGCCCCATGGTTTCTGGACAGGGAATGGTAAAAGATATACAGCAATTTATGTAAGAACTTCCCAGAATAGAAGCATCTCTAAAAATGCAGATATTAGTTATTTCAGGTACATCCCTTCACTTCAGCAAGAGCTATGCATGTATTCATATGAGGGCAAAATTCAAGTCCTTTATGAATATGTCTAAACTAATTAAAGCATTCTTTGAAAGAAGTGGGTTTCTCAAGTGAAACTATCCTAGGCAGTGTGTATCACCTCTGTCTGCACGACATTCAGGATAGCATTAAATATACAGAAGAAAAAAAACCATAGTCACTCACAAATATTGTTAAATGTTGGAACAACAGTTCATACTGTGCAGAATTTACCATTTGAAGACTATCATTGTAAAATTGTTTCAGTGTAATGACCCCGGGGAATATTTGCCCTGGAATGAGAACAGAGAATATTAATTAATTAGAAAGCATTCAAGTAAGTTGAGTCTCACCTTAGAGTTCTCCAGGCTTTAGAGATGGGGAAATACAATGCAGAAATCCATCAGTGCTATTTTTCATATACTGGAGGAATCAGTAGGGGACAAATATTTGCTCAACTAATTCAGACATAATGGGGACAAACTCTAGCTACCTGGGAAGCAGGCAGGATCCTGGCCTTAACCTATGAAACTGGATAATGTTAAACTGTAAGCATAGTCTGAAGCTAAGAAAAGACTCCATCTGAGGTATTACAAAATTTAGTGAGAAAATATCTGTATTAAAGATTCCAAATTTGCAACCACTAAGTAGTTGATGTGGTTCACCATATCTGAGAAAGTGATTAAGTGTCTACTTGCTTCTTTTGGCTCACAAGTAAATTTGAGAATCCTGCCTGCTGGCACTTAAAGAAGAAGCCCCACTTGCTCACATACTTGGCCTTGAGCAGCATCTCAGAGATGCATTTCAACAGGACTGTGATGAGTGTTCAGCAATAGGAAAAATCAAGTCAGTCATTCAGAGGTCTTCATGGGTTTGGGCCTTTTAAATCCTGGATATTAATATTGATGTCAGGTTTACATTTGCTTTTTTCCCACTTTTCACTTATTTTAATCTCCAGCACCCCTGACAGAGAACTCACCTTCTTTTCCTAGCACATTAACCTCTTCAGCTGTCACTGTTTTGTGAGCTAACAATCTAGGTCATTGTAGCAGTGGCTGTATGCAAAGCAAGGCATTCTTCAGCAGTCACTTTCCCAGACTGATTATGTTTGCAGTTATAACATGAGAACAAGGGATATGGGAAGAAAAATTCACCTGAGCAGTTATCTGTGAAGTAACTAAAAATATAGATTGCCCTGCTGCAACTCACCTTTGTAACAATCCTTGTTGCTATAGTAGAATCCATATTGGCACAGGCAGGTGAAAGTGGTATTTAAAGCAACACATTTAGGCATACTTGTTCCACAAGGGTTTGACTTGCAGAAGTCCCCTGATACAAAGATGGAAGATATTGATGTCAGGATTTCTATGAAATTGCAATAGCCAGATCATATGTTCATATATTAAATAGCTCATATATACATCTACTAAAGGAAACTTGTATAGGTGCAATTAAAGAGCACGTGGCTGTCTTGCTTGCTTAATGTCTGTATAGTAGAATCATAGAATCATAGAATGGTTTGGATTGGAAGGGACCTTAAAGATCATCTAGTTCCAACCCCCCTGCCATCAGCAGGGACACCTTCCACTAGATCAGGTTGCTCAAAGCCTCATCCAGCCTGGTCTTAAACACTTCCAGGGAGGGGGCATCAACAACTTCCTTGGGCAACCTGTTCCAGTGTCTGACCACCCTCACAGTGCAGAACTTCTTCCTAATATCTAATCTAAACCTACCCTCTTTCAGTTTAAACCCATTTCCCCTTGTCTTGTCATTAGTTGCCCTTATGAAAAGTCCCTCCCCAGCTTTCTTGTAGGCCCCCGTTTTTTGTAGTAATTTTTTACACAATCCAGCAGGATATCACAGTGAGGGGACAGAGTAAGGCTGAAACTCATTGTCTGTCATACTGAGCATTCACAATTTAACTCTACTTGATGCAACGAAAACCAAACCAAACAAAAAAAGCATATCAAGGATTGCCAAAAGCAGTGACTAAGTTAGAACTAAGGGTAGACTACAATAGCCTGTGGGTCTTTAATACTGCACTGGTATGTACTTGCCTTATTATAATACAGTGTTGTGGTAGGGTCCTTTACTGCAGACACATTAATAAAATTAAGGCTCCCAAGTTAATCATCGTAGTATACATGCCTCAATAGATATCAGAGTATGCTGCTAAGGAATTTGTTGCAGGGCTTACAGCTTTCAGCATAATATGACTTACTATATTAACTGGCTACTGTACCATCCTTCTACAGCAGCAAAACTTTGTGGATTTGTGCTGATTGCTGCCTTCTACTTACTTGCTGGAGCTGTTGCTGAAGATGATGTTGTGTTCATTCCCAGAAAAAATAAAATAACTTACTATGTCAGCTCTTTTAGTGCCTTGGTTACACTGAGGCCATTGAGGGCAGCATGGTATGGTGCCTCAAAACCTTTCCCAAGCCTGGTTCTACCTTGCCCTGTACTCTAGCCAGTGCCTTGCCATTATTTCCTTCAACTTGTTGCTCAGTATGATTTACCCTGCATGCCTGTCTTATCTGGCAACATCTCTATCCATTCAGTTTGTCTCCCGCCTGCAAATTTTCTCTGTCCAAAAGCTCTGCAGGTTCCACAGATCTCTCCCTCTCCCCCAATGCCAAGCTCGTCATCGCTACCCCAAGACCAGGGCAAGGTTCTTGTTTCCACCCTCACAACATCTTCGGTGTATCCAGAGCAACCTGTGGCCTTTGCTTCTGTCCTGAGCCAGCCCAGGTCCACTTCAACTACAACATGTTTAAACACTTGGAAGACTAGTAGCACTACAGGAAAACTTCCAGTTAAACCTTCCTTTAAAATTATCCTGTGAGAGGCTAAGCTGGAAACATGCACAGCAACAAGAAAGAGAAAACTCTTAGAAAGATCTGATTACAAATCCACCACAAGAAAGAAATGTATAGAGCAGTAGGATATTGGAATAATCTCAAATATATTTTAAATTTAATTTTTATAGAGTATGTTCTTTGTCTAAAATGGTCAGTTATACTTTCTCTAAGAAATTATATATTCTCTAAGAATTTTAGAGCATGTATTTCAAATCTATACATAACTTTTTAGTTTATAAGTAATTAAAAGTTATATTTAAATATACATTTTATATAGGAGGGTAATTACAGTTCGCTTCCTAGTAACCAAATTCTGATTTTCACTCTGACTAGTTTCTTTCACTTAAAACCATAGGTACATTCTCATAGATGATGTAGAGGATTTCTGTGCAGTGGGGAAAAATACACCAATTCTCTTTCATTCCCTAAGAAGTGGAAAGGAAAACACTTAATGATGTTTCATTGGCTAGAAGGGTCATCTCCAGGTATTATGTTCCCAGAGCTCCTACTGAAGCCAAATACTTTTCTGGAGGAAGAGACCTCAAGCAGAAAGCAACAAGGCTTGTGAAATCATGCCCTTGAAGCCAGGGCCAGAAAGGAAGAGTAGAGAGGAGAGACAGCATTGATGTGAGGCTCTTTGTCTTGCATGCAACTCCCACTCAGATGAAGGCTTGGCCAGCTTTGGAAGATTCCTGGCAGTGAGCACTTCACATTCCCCAGACGCTACTCCTGGCACTCAGCTCCTTGCTGGTGTGCGCCCCG